CAAACAAAAGTATTCGTACCATTCAGCAGCATTCTGTTACCGGTGCTAATCCAATGGAAAGCATTTTACTGCTGCTAGCTTTGTCACACCACAGATAAGGTCTAGAGAAAATCAGTAGACTAGAGGCAATCGTGTGGTTAGACAGAAATCCCACTCCACAATTAATCCATAAATTGGAGTAAATTCTAGGCTAAATACATCAAGAAGCTTCTCCTTTCTTCAATGGAAAGTAAATTTGATATTGATGGAGCGAAAATATCAATTACGATTCCTCTTTTTTGAAAATTCATTTTCCTGCTGCTGAAAATGTTTGTTTGGATGGGTACACAGTCAAGTTTAATTGTAATTTTCTTCTCACCTTGAAGAGATGCATTGCAATTTTAAGTGTAGAAAAATGTTGAGGAACTGCTATGTAAGCAAAATAATAAGTGGATCTTTTATGATTGCACTCACGTATCAGCCTCTGTCTTGGGATGAGTTGTGATAAGGAAGGAAGTTGTAAGAAAACAAAAGGAAAATTGTTGTAGTCTTGGAGTACTTCAGCATTCAAAGTTAATTTGACTTGCTCTAGACTTGCTCGCCGAGCCGGTGTGTTTGATTATAGACGTTTCATCATCCAGCTAGTCTTGTGCGTTTGATAATCAGGAAGGTGTTATCTACATAGCGGATCCAGAGTTTGGGTTGTATAGTGGGGAGCGCTATCCGTTCTAATCTTTGCATCACTTCTTTTGCTATCGTTCCTGATATTGGGGTTCAGTTGATTGTTTGACTATACGGTTGTTGAGAGGTGAAGTGGGTTGTGAGGCACAGATCCAGCAGTTTCAGGCTGCTGCCCTTGTTGATGCAGTTGGTGTCGTGGGTGTCTGCCTACCAGGTTCTTCCAGCAGTGTGGCAATTGTCTCTTTGGCTAGGTCAATGTTTATGGATGTAAATAGTGCTATTACGTCAAAGGACATCATTATCTCACCCTCTTCTATTCTGGTGTCCTTGATAATGTTGAGGAATTCTTGGAAGGAGTGGATGGAGTAGGTAGTGTTGTCCACTAAGTATTTCAGTTTCCATTGTAGTTCTTTGGCTAGTCTATATGTTGGCGTACCTGGTAGTGAGACAATAGGTCTCGGCGGACCCCTGGCTTGTGTAACTTAGGGAGTCCATATACTTCCTACATGAATGCCTCAGAAAACAGGTGCTACCACAAAGTTTAAAATATAAACTACCTATCAACAATCCACAGGCATGGAGAACAGCTGCACAGAACGGCTGCAGAATGTTAAGGGTTATGATGAATGATGCCAATAACCACCTCCACAAATATGAGCAGGATACACTGTGCCAAAAAACTCTGTACTCCAACGCAACCAACCAAGAATGGACAACCACACTGGAACAAGCCATCACCATACAACAACAAAAGACCAGAATAAAGAAAAGAATAGCCTTACAAGAAAAACTATCCAAACTTGCCCGCAACCATGACACAGACAATACAGAAACATGGATTAAGAACATCTCAGACCGACCGCTTACAGATGCTGAGAAGACCGTCCTAGTACATGAACTGAATTATAAGTACAAAGATGCCAAAAAACTGACTTCCTGGCTGCACTGGAATTGACACTAAAGAGCAACAGAATCACAGAGGAAATACAATAGTCCATCAGACAGATGATAGTCCCAATACTTAGCAGAAAAGATAAGTGGAATACATTTAACACAGAAGAGAAGAAAGCCCTAGAAAGATTCAAGACAGACAGAAAAATCATAATCTTACTGGCGGACAAAGGAGGCATGATGGTAATCTTTAATGGAGCCCAATACATCGAGAAAGCTAACGCATTACTCGCAGACACCAACACCGATGTCGATAGATGCAACTGCACAGTTAGAGAACTGGATTACAACGACCCTGAAGAAATTACACAACTCCAGGAGATGTCAGCAAGACAGACTACCAAAAAACAAAGCCAGAAGGATCCAACACCCCCTGTTTCTTTGGACTCCCTAAGGTACACAAGCCAGGGGTCCCCCTCAGACTCCAACATATAGACCAGCCAAAGAACTACAATGAAAACTGAAATGCTTAGTAGACAACACTATCCACACCATCCATTCCTCCCAAGAGTTCATGGAATCATAGAATCCCTACTGTGTGGAAACAGTCCATTCGGCTCAACAAGTCCACACCATCCCTCCAAAGAACATCCCACCCAGACTCGTTCCCCTAATTTCCCATGTCTAACTCACCTAACCTAAACATCCCTGAACACTATGGGCAATTTAGCATGGCCAATCCACCTACCCTGCACAACTTTGGACTGTGGGAGGAAACCGGAGCACCCGGAGGAAACCCACGCAGACACGGGGAGAATGTGCAAACTCCACACAGCTCGAGGGTGGAATCGAACCCGGCACTGTGTCCCTGGCACTGTGAGGCAGCAATGCTAGCCACTGTGCTGCCCTCAAATTCCTCAACATCCAGAATAGAAGAGGATGAGATAATGATGTAACAGCACTATTTATATCCATAAAAAATGACCTAGTCAAAGAGACAACTGCCACAGTGCTAGACGGATCAGGAAGGCAGACACTCCACGATATCAAACAAATCAACGGAACATCAATGGGATCCCCAATATCAGGACTGATAGCAGAAGCGATAATGCAAAGGTTAGAATGGACAGCACTCCCCGTTATCCAACCTAAACTCTGGGTCCGCTACGTAGATGACACCTTCGTGATTATCAAGCTCACAAGACTACAAGAAACCCACTGACACATAAACAACATTCTCACTGGAATAAAATTCACAAAAGAAGAAGAAAACAATAACTGACTACCTTTCCTAGACATAATGGTAGAACATAAGAACAACAGGAAACTCCAGATCAGCATATACAGGAAGACCACCCATACGGACCAGATAGTTAATTACACCAACAATCACCCCAACACCCATAAACGGAGCTGCATCTAGACATTATTGAAATGAGCCACAGCGCACTGCAGCAACCTGCAATTGTGCAAAGTGGAATAGGAGCACTTATACGGAATTTTTAAGAGGAATGGATATCCAAAAAGCACAATTCGCCCTTACCTCCATGGCAGACCACAACAAAAAGACACGCCACGCCAGACACACTAGTCACCCTACCATACATCAGAGACGCATCAGAGATGACCACAAGACTACTCAGACCCCTAGGTTTCAGGGTAGCTCACAAACCAACAACCACCCTGCGACAGCTACTGACGAATGTAAAATGTAAAGAATTCCATACCCACAACCAATAAAACTAATGTTATGAAAAATACTATGCAAGGACTGTGAGAAACATTATATAGTCCAAACTGGAAGAAAAATGACAATAAGGATACACAAACACCAACTAGCCATCATGAGAGACGACCAGTTCCCACTGGTCTCAATACACGGACAAAGAAGGACACAAATTCGACCGGGACAACACATCCATAATAGCACAAGCCAAACAGAGACACGACAGCGAATTCCTGGAGGCCTGGCATTCCAACCAGAACTCCATCAACAAACACATTGAACTGGACCCGATATATAAACCACTGAGAACCAGAAACAGTGATGCTAACCACCCCAGCAAACCGAAGCATATAAATACCAAGTGGGATAGAACACCAACACTTCACCAGAGGTGCACTGATGATGTTACCTAGCAGGGTGATGAAACATCTGCAATTAAACACACCAGCTGTTCAAGCAATTCTACAACATCATCCATAACACGAACTACAGATCTTCTCAAAAATTTTGAATTCGACATGTTCATTGAATTTTTTTGGTAGTAGGGGATTTACCAAAAATTTAGGAACATTAACAGTTAATATTTTACTTTGTATATCTGCTGGAAGTAGATTTTTTTGTGTTAGCAAAGAAGTTATTACCATATATAATTGTATAAAAGTCAAGTTTTTTAAGACAAAATGTCAGCAGTTAAATTGTACATGAATAATTCTTTAGAAGGATTTTGTGCTTAAGGGGGCCCCCCCTTGGCCCTGTCCTGGAGCAATGTTTCCTGCTCCTGAAGACGACATTCTTCTTGTTGCTTCCCTCCCTCTCACTTGTCACTTCCCTGGCCACACTGGTTGATGTATCCTTCCAGGTTCATTCAAGGAATCAAAGAGATTTCATCATGAAAACAGGGCTAATTCCTGAAAACAAAATAGAAATTGCTGGAAACCCTCAGTAGGTCTGGCAGCATATGTGGAGAAAAATCAGAGGTAATGTTAGCTTTGATTTCTTGCCACAGATGCTGCCAGACCTACTGAGATTTTCAAGCAATTTCTGTTTTTGTTTCTGATTTCCAGCATACATGGTTCTTTTGCTTTTTTGTCTACTTCTGGAGAATCTTGCCAGACGAAACCTGAGAGGAGAAGCATGGCAATAGTCAGTGTTGCAAAATTCCATTAATGTTTTACTGATGGCTTTTTTTTCCATGTTGCAGTTTCTTATTGTCATTCTACTTCCATGGTTTTCATTGTGTTATTTACTACTCCAGTTGTGTGATGAACATTCCATTTCCATTGATATTTTCTAGTTCAAATTTCCAAATCAGAAATAATAACTCCCATTTCAGAGTGTTTCCATTTGGTCCAAGTGTAATTTATGGTTTTGATTCTCATGCTGACCACTGTTTTCACAAATGGCTTCTATTTATAGACTTGATTTATTTCTCCTTATCCCTCAAAAACTAGGATCAACTAATGCACAAGATCCATGAAAGGTGAAGGATTTTTTTTGGGTCAACTTTCTCATGAGATCAACTGTTATTCAAGTATATATAGTCATTATATGTCTATTAAATACTAACCTACTGAAACTCAGTTAGACTAAGGTTGTTTAAAAGAATGTATTTTTGATAAAGTATTAATGGAGGACATTGGATGAATGTTTAACCTAAAAATAAAACCTTTATTCAAATGTATTGTGAGACCATGACAAATGGTGGTTCTATTCTGCATTTCAGGAAGGAGATTGCCAAGGTTCTGCGAAGTTCTTATCTACGTGCCTTGAACATGGCCTCATTCTTTATTGCTAGCAAGATGATATTGTTTTTTACATTCCTGGCGTACGTGCTACTTGGCAACACTATAACAGCAAGTCGTGTGTTTGTCACAGTTTCATTGTACAGTGCTGTGAGACTCACAGTCACCCTGTTCTTCCCAGCAGCTATTCAGACAGCTTCTGAGGGATTAATCAGCATAAGAAGGATAAAGGTATGTAGTAGTATTGAAAAATAATTTTGTTTTGCTGATTTTGTTTCCCTTGGCAAGGAAGATCTATTACTTTGGTGAAATTCCAATCTTCTGGCCAGGAACATTAGTGCAAGGAAATGGAGCACTTTGTTGGTTAAGATATTCAGTACCAGCATTAATAAAGATAATGTAACTGCTGTGGAAATTAAAGCTTACAGGAAGTAATAAAATAACTGTTGATAACTTAGGCATTAGGCTAGGTTATTCAACCCATTTGGATAATGGCTGATCCGCACCTTCATTCTATTAACCTCTTGTTTGCATACCACTTGATATCCTTATGTAACAAACCAACTGGGCTGCACACCCCTTCATATCTATACCTAACAATTTGCCTTGATTCCATATCCCCTTGTGCCCTACCTATCAACCCACCTCTGTCCCTTAATACTGAAACCTATAACTTAGTTTTGTAATTTCAACAGATTTTTGAGGGAATTGTTCTGGATATTTTCACTATCATTGTACGTAGACATACGATGACATTGCCCTGAATAGCTTAGCTTCAGTTGTAAGGTTTTGCTCTGAAGGAAATAATTTCTGTCCACCCTATTAAAACCTTTAATTATTTTCAACACCTCTTGTTATTTAACAACACAACCTCCTGTACTCAAGGGAATAGAGAACTAACCTTTGTAGATTTCATAGAATCCCTACAGTGTGGAAATAGGCCCTTCGGCCCATCAAGTCCACACCGACCCTCAGAGTATCCCACCCAGACCCATCCGGCTATAACCCATCTAATCTACACATCCCTGAACACTATGGCCAATTTAGCAGAGCCAATCCACTTAGCCTGCACATCTTTGGACTGTGGGGGGAAACCTGAGCACCCTGTGTGACTTATTCTCATAATCTAATCTAATTAGCCATGGTATCACTCTGATAAATGTACACTATAATCCTTCCAAGGCCAATCTATTCTTCCTGAGATGAGGTCCCTAGAACTGAATTAGAGATTCAGTTGGAATTGAACCACAGTGCTCTCTACAACTGTAACATAACTTTCAGTCTCTTTTCAATCAAAGACCAGAAACGAAGGCTAGCAGTTTATGTGGCTTTTAAGTTATTCATTGTCATCCACTTGTTTTTAAGTTAATGTGAATCAACCCTGAAATCTTTCTACAGCTCCATAGTTCTTTTTCTCTTCATTATGGAAATCTTCTTTAATGATTAATCCTGTACTTCCCACATTGCACTTGCCATTTGCCAGTTTAACCTGCACACAAATAACTTAACAATGTCCCTTTCCACTGTCTTGTTCCATTTATGCAATGTGCTATTTATCCAAATGTTGCCAGCAATTGTCCTTTTCTCGTCCACTTTAGTCAACTTACAAAGGAATGAGGCTAACTGCCTTTATTTAAGTTTGGTACTGTTGTTTCCACTCAAAGTTTTCTCACTTTCAAACAGAATACTAAATTCTACTGTGTTGTTAGGCTTTCCTCGGGAATTATTTTACTCTGAGATAATTTAGTATACCTGCCTCATTGCATATTAACAGATCCAGAACAGCCCCCTAGTTGGATCCACAACATATTGTTCTAGGAAGTTTTCTGAAGCATAATCTGAATTCTTCCTTGAGCTTCTTTTGCCAGTTGGTTTTCCCAAACTACATCAAGGTTAAAGTCATCCTTGATTCTTGCATTTCTGTATAAATATGCCCTTATTAGCTCCTATTTTTTTTCCTGCAGTATATCTGCTGTTGGAGACCTGTGGGCTAATCCCAGTGTCATCTCCTCTTGTTATTTCATACCGCAATTAGCATCTTCTGATCCACGATCATTTCTTGGCATCATATTTATTTCGTCTCATACTAACAAAGCTACTCCATCACCCTTTCCTTCCTGCCTTTCCTTTCAAAAGGAAACATTCCTTTGAATATTTAATTCTGAGCTTTGACGTCCTCCTAACTATGGCTATAAGATCATTACAAGATAGCGTAAAGTATGGTATGGAATAACTACAATAGTAAGAAATAATCTTTTAGCCATGTAATGGTAATGGCTGCATGAGCTACTTGACTAACCTCTCTTTGTCCTGTTAGTTCGATTATTTTGTTGTAAATATTTATTCTGAATATTCTGAATTGTCTCTCTTTTTAATGGATGGAGATACGTATGGTCCTTTATAGAACATAGAACATTGAACAGTACAGCACAGTACAGACCCTTCAGCCCACGATTTTGTGCTGAACTTTTATCCTAAACCTAAGGTCTATCTAACCTCCACCCCGATCTTATACTATCATCCATATGCCTATCCAGTAGCCACTTAAATGCCCCTAATGAGGCTGACTCCAATACCCTATCCGGCAATGCATTCCACGCCCCCACCACTCTGAGTAAAGAACCTACCTCTGATGTCTCCCCTAAATCTACCTCCACTCACTTTAAAACTATGCCCCCTCGTAATAGCTACCGCCACACTAGGAAAAAGTCTCTGGCTGTCCACTCTATCTATACCTCTGATCATTTTGTACACCTCTATCAAGTCACCTCTCATGCTTCGTCGTTCTAAAGAGAAAAGCCCTAGCTCTCTCAACCTTTCCTCGTAAGACCTTCCCTCCATTCCAGGCAACACCGTGGTAAATCTCCTCTGCACTTTTTCCAACGCTTCCACATCTTTCAAATGTTATGGACTATGACTAACTATTTGTTATAAATAAAGCCAGAATGATTAAAAAAATTTTTTTTGGGTCACTTAAATGCTGTAGCACCATGTATTGATTTTTGAATTTCAGTGAATACAATTTTTTGGATTTGCTTTATTTTCAGTTGATGTTTTGAGATTTACAAAAATGGCTTTCCTTCTTAAAATGTGTTGTTTCTGCACTGTCTAAATAGTTTACTTGCCAATCTATTAAGTGATTGTAAACAAATATGTTTAAGCCTAGGAGACGATAAAAGTATGGAAACAGAAAATAGGAGCAGGAGTAGGCCATTCTGCCTTTTGAGCCTGCTCTGCCATTCAATAGGGTCACGGCTGATCATCCAACTCAGTACCCTGTTTCCCTTTCCAACCCATTTGATTTGATCCCTTTAGCCTAAGGCTATCTATCTCATTGAAAACATTGTATTTTTGGCAGTACAGTCTTTGAGCAGAAGGACCTCTTCCATACTGCATGATTCCATGGTTCAGTGTTTTGTCTCAGTTGCCTTCTGTGGCAGAGAATTTCACAGGCTGACCACTCTCTGGATGAAGAAATAATCCTTATCTCAGTCCAAAGGGCCTATCCCAACTTCTCAGACAGTGACTCCTGGTTCTGGACTCCCTGGTCAACTGGAACATCCTTACAGTGTTTACCCTGTCTAGTCTTGTTAGAATTTTGTAGATTTGTAAGATGCACAATTAATTTGTTGGAATGAGATCAGAAATGTGGAACAATTAATCAAATGATAAAATTAGTAAAGTAGTGATTGTTTCCAGAGTGGAGTACACCAGGGGAATTTTAGTAGAACAGTAAATATGGATTTGATGAAGTAAGTAAGGAGACATTTCTCCCAGTAGGTCAATGGTCAGTAAACAACAGATTTGGATTCAAGGCAATAAGCAGTTTAAAAAGTTAAGATGTGTATTTTTAATGCAGCAACCAATTATGATCTAGAATGCTCCCTCCCCCTCTCTCTTCTCCCCTCCCCCAATTTTCTCCTCCCTTTCCACAATTCTTATTCTCCCTCTCTCTTCTCCACCAGTACCCCCTTTCTTCTCCCCCCACTCCTTTCCCCCAACTCCCTCCACCTGTGTGTTTGCTCTCTTTCGCTCGTTCTTGTGTTTGAGCACTCTTTTTCTCTTCCAAAAGCAGGACTTTCTTACCAAGGAATGAAAGGAGCAAAAATCTCACCTTAAAGCAATGAACGTAACTCCAGTGTTAACTTGCTGTGGAATAGCCATTGAGATTTGGGTGGTAAAAGGAGGAGTAGGACTGATTAGGGACCAAAATGTACATTTACACCTGGAAGCAGGTTGCATGGCTGACGTGTTAAACGAATGCTTTGCATCTGTCTTACCAAAGAGAGGGATACAATCCAAGCCATGGTGACAGAGAAAATGCATCCAAGGATTTTCAAGAAAGCATATGTTGAAATTTCAGGGGTACTGGCCACAATCTTTGTCTTCCCTAGACTTGGTGAGGTGCAAAAGACTGTAAAATCACAAACATTCCAGCCTTGCTGAAGAAAGATTATAAGGATAAGCCCAGCAATCACAGATGGGTCAGTCTAACTTTAGCGTTGAGGAAGGTTCTAAACACAATTATTTGGCATAGAATTAGTGGTTACACTGGAAAAGGTGACTTGATTAGGAAATGTCAGCATGGATTTCTAAAGGGAAAATAATGTTTAACTAACTTGCTGAAGCTTTCCAAAGAGGTGACAGCCTTGATGAAGATAACACTGTTGTAATAGTCTACATAGACCTTTGGAAGGTGTTTGATACAGTGACACACGACAGACTTGCAATGCGAGCCATAGGTCATGGAATAAAAGGATCAACAGCAACATGCACACAAAAATTGTCTGTGAGTCAGGAAACAGTAATGTTTTTCATCATCACCATCATTGAATCCTTACCGTGTGGAAACAGGCCCTTTGGTCCAACAAGTCCACACCGACTCTCTCAGCATCCCACCAAGACCCATCCTCCTATAACTCACCTAATCTACACATCCCTGAAAACTACGAGCAATTTAGTTTGGCCAATGCACCCAGCCTACGCACCTTTGGACTGTGGGAGGAAACCGGTGCACCTGGACGAAGCCCTTGCACGCATGGGAAGAATGTGCAAACTCCACACAGACAGTCGCCCGAGGGTGGAGTCAAACCCAGGTCCCTGGCACTGTGAGGCAGCAGTGCTAACCGCTGAGCCACCATGCCGCCCCTGTTCAATGGATACGTTTTGGACTGGAGGAAGTTCCGTCGTGGAGTTTCCCAAAGGTTGGTAGTGGGACTCTTGCTGTCGCTAATATATAGTAATGTTCTAGATTTTGGTGTTCAGGGGCAATCTTAAAGTGTGCAAATAGCACAAAACATGGAAGAATTGTAAATGCTGAGGAGGTCAGTTTGGAAGTCTAGAAGGACATAGACAAGTTGATGGAGTGGGCATATAGGTGGCAGCTAAATTTTAATGCAGAGAAGTTTGAGGTAGTGCATTTATAGGAAGGATGTGAATGCCTTGGTCAGACGCAGAAGCCATTTGCAAGAATATTCAAGGCATGAGAAACTTCAGTTATGAGGATAAATTGAAGAAGCTGAAATTCTTCTTGGAGAGAAGGCTGTTGAGAGATCTGATAGAGCTTTTGAACATCATGAGCAGACTGGATAGAGGAAATAGAAGCTGTTCCTGCTTGTAAAAGGGACAAGAGCAAGAAGGCATAGATTTGTAGTGATTTGCAAAAAGAAGCAAGGATGAAATGAGGAGAAACTTATTCATACATTGAGTAGTTGAAGTATGGAATGCACTGCCTGTGATGGTGGCAGGTTCAGTTGAGGCATGCAAGAGGGCATTGGATGATTATTTAGATAAAAATAACATGCAAGCGTATGGGGGAGAAAGCAGGAGAAGTCATGATGCTCATTTAATGAGTCGGTGCAGGCATAATGGGCTGAGTGGCCTGCTTCTTTGCCACATCATTCTGAAATTCTGATTCCATGACCGTGACATCATGGCAGGATCACCTGCCATCCTATCCTATTAATTTATTCAGTTTAATAGTGTAAAATGATTCATCCATTGCAAAATAATAAATGATTAGTGTCAGTTTCCACTCAAGTTCCATATTTAAAATATTTCTGTAACTTATTTCAGAGTCTGAATCATAGAGTCTACAGCATGAAAACAGACCCTTTGGCCCAACTTGCCCATGTTGCCTAGTTTTCACAATTAAACTAGTCTTATTTGCCTGTGTTTGGTCCATATCCCTCCATACCTTCCCATCCATGTACCTATCTAAATGTTTCTTAAATGATGTAATTATACTCTCTTCAACCGCTACCTCTGGCAGCCTGTTCCAGACTCTAACTACCACCTTGTGAAAAAATTGTCCCCCTTTTGTATCCACACACACACGGACACACACCAACACCACCCCCCCCGCCCCCCCCCCGTTGCTTCCCATTTTGGACTGCCCTACCATGGGGAAAAAAAAACTGTCGGCTATCTACCTTATCTATGCCTCTCATGATTTTATAGACTTCTAGAAGGTCACCCTTCAGTCTCTGACAGTCTAGGGGGAAAAGGGTCCCAGCCTATCCAACCTCTCCTAATTCAAACCTCCAGTCCAGGTAGGATCCTAGTATAAATCTTTTCTGCACTCTTTCTAGTTTAATTTCTATTGTAGGGCAACCAGAATTATTTTGTATCCTGTTTCTTTAATATTAATATTTTCTGCTTTGCAATTAATTTTGATTTTATTTGTTTTGTTAATAGGGATTCTTGATCCTCGAAGAAATTAAAAAGCCCAATGAGGGTGTGCAGAACAGTGAAAAGAATAATTCAATCCATGTACAAGATCTCACGTGCTTTTGGGACAAGGTAAACTAATTATCTAATATGCAAGCTCTTTTAGTCTCAATGTTTTTATACCCTAAAGTATGTTTAATATTGACAATGTTCTCAATGATGAGAGGGCATTCTGGTCTCAAATGGCAAGAAGTGAGACATGAAGAAATCTCCTAACCAGTAATCCAGAGCCCATTATGTATTCAATCAGTGCTAAGATTTTCAAAACCTATAGGCAATCTGAGACAGGCGAATCTGATTTGCTTGTCATTTACTCGATTTCAGCCAAGTCAGTACGAACTGTGAAAAATCTTTGGATGCAGTAAATGTATTTGAAGTTCACAGCACTTTTCAAAATCATGTATCACTACAAATGATTCATAGATTAAAAATATAAAAATAAAATACTGCAGATGCTGGAAATTTGAAGTGAAAGGAAAATTGCTGCAAATGCATGCATTCTTCAGGACACCACTTTATCCATCTGTCCTGATACCTTAAGGGACCAGCATACATGCACACCAACGTACCGTTGCTCTCTATGCTTCCCAGGGTCCTACCATTCATCATGTATTGCCTTGCCTTGTTTGTTCTGCACAAGTGCCATTGATCTGCACATCTGACCTTTCCATCTAAATCCTGTTGTAGTCTCTCTCACTATTTACAACCGTATGGGCGGCTTGGTGGCTCAGTGGTTAGCACTGCTGCCTCACAGGGACCTGGGTTCAATTCCACCCTCCGGCAACTGTCTTTGTGGAGTTGCAAATTCTCCCTGTGCCTGCGCGTGTTTCCTCTGGGTGCTCCAATTTTTCCCATAGTCCAGAGATGTGCAGATTAGGTGGATTAGCCATGCTAAATTGCCCATAGTGTCCATAGGTTAGATGGATTAGCCATGAGAAATGCAGGGTTATGGGGATAGGATAGAGGGGTAGAATGCTGTTCGGAGGGTCAGTGTGGACTCAGTGGACCAAATGGCCTGTTTCCACATTGTAGGGATTCTATGAGAGACCAATTCTTTATTGTCTGAGAATGTACTGACCAACCCTCCAACATTCAAGTGTTAATTATTCATATAAACCACAAATAGCAAGGGCCCTAACGCTGATCCTGGTGGGACCTCATTGGATACAGACTTCCAGTCGGAAGAGGAGGGCCTCTCAGCCGTCACACTCTGCTTCTTGCCACTCAGCCAGTTGCCAAGTTTTCTTGCACGCATGGGCTCTTACCTTTGCTATCGGTCTCCCATGCGGGACCTTATCAAGAGCCTTACTGAATTCCAAATACGAAGGCAGTTGGGTGACAGTGAGGAAAGGGAAGGGAAGGAAACAGTCAGTGCAGGGATCCCCTGTGGTCGTTCCATTCAACAATAGTATACTGTTTTGGATACTGTTGGGGGGGACGACCTACTAGGGGTAAGCCACAGGGACAGGGTCTCTGGTACAGGGTCTGGCTCTGTGGCTCAGAAGGGAAGGAGGGAGAATAGGAGAGCAATTGTAGTGGGGGATTCAATAGTTAGAGGCACAGACAGGTGGTTCTGTGAACGTGAATGAGACGAATGGATGGTATGTTGCCTCCCGGCTGCCAGGGTCCGTGACGTCTCTGATCGTGTCTTCAAGATCCTTAAGGGGAAAGGTGAGCAACCAGTAGTTATGGTACGCATCGGCACCGACTACAGAGGTAGAAAAAGGACTGAGAATGTGAAAAACAAGTACAGGGAGTTAGGTTGGAAGCTCAAGTCCAGGACAAACAGGGTAGTTATCTCTGGATTACTACCAGTGCCACATGATAACGAGGTAAGAAGAGAGAGTGCACCTAAACACGTGGCTACAGGGCTGGTATAGGAGGGAGGGCTTCCATTATGTGGATAATTGGAGCACATTCGGGGGAAGGTGGGACCTGTACAGGAAGGGCACAAATACCCTGAGAGGGAGGTTTGCTCAAGCTATATGGGATGGTTTAAACTAGATTGGCAGGGGGTAGGGAACCAGATTTATAATTCAGAAGATGAGGTATTCAGCCTTCCAACAGACACAACAGGGAGTGAGGTTGTTAGTCAAGAAATGCGGTAGATGGAGCGTAATTGTGGACACAGGGATGGTTTGAAGTGTGTATACTTCAATGCTAGAAATATCAGAAATAAGGCAGATGAACTTAGAGCTTGGGTCAGTACTTGGAACTACGATGTTGTGGCCATTACAGAAACTTGGGTAACTCAGGGAGAGGAATGGTTGTTGGAAGTTCTGGGATTTAGATGTTTTAAAAGAAATAGGGAAGCCGGTAAGAGAGAGGGGGCGTGGCATTGCTAGTCAGGGCTAGTATAGCAGCTACTGAAAGGCAGTTCGAGAATGATATGTCTACAGAGTCAGTTTGGGTTGAGGTCCAGAACAAGAAAGGAGCAGTCACTTTGTTGGGGGTTTTTTACAGACCCCCCTAATAGTTGCAGAGAAGTGGAGGAGAGGATTGAGAGGCAACTACTGGAAAGTCACAGGGTTGTAGTCATGGGTGACTTCAACTTCCCAAATATTGATTGGAAACTTTTTAGTTGTAATAGTTTAGATGGAGTGGATTTTGTCCAGTGCGTTCAGGAAGGATTCCTGACACAGTATGTAGATAGACCAACATGATGAGAGGCCACTTTAGAATTGTTGCTTGGCAATGAACCGGGCCAAGTGTCAGACCTGTTGGTAGGAGAGCATTTTGGCGGTAGCGATCATAACTCTGTTACTTTTACAATAGTCATGGAAAAGGATAGGTACGTACAGCAGGGTAAGGTTTATAATTGGGGGGAGGGTAATTACAATTCTGTTAGGCAAGAACTGGGTAACATAAATTGGGAACAGATGCTGTCAGGGAAGAGCACTATTGAAATGTGGAGATTGTTTAAGGAATGCACAACGCATGTGCTCGATACGTTTGTCCCTAGCAGGCAGGGAACATGTGGTCGAGTGAAGGAGCCTTGGTTCTCAAGACAGGTTGAACGACTGGTTAAGAGGAAGAAGGATGCTTATATAAGGTTGAGGAAACAAGGATTGGAAAAGGCCGTAGAGGAATACAAGTTAGCTAGGAAGGAACTGAGGAAAGGGCGTAGGAGAGCTATAAGGGGGCATGAGAAAACCTCGGCAGATAGGATCAAGGAAAACACCAAGGCTTTTTACACATACGTGAGGAATAAGAGGATGACCAGAGAAAGGGTAGGGCCGATCAAGGATTGCAAAGGGAATTTGTCTACGGAGCCTGAAGAGATAGGAGAGGTCCTTAATGAATACTTTTCTTCGGTATTCACAACTGAGAGGGACCTAGTTGTAGGGAAGGACAGTGTGAAACAGGCTCGTCGGCTCGAGGAGGTGGATGTTAGTCAGGAAGATGTACTAGGAATTTTGAGGAACTTGAAGATAGATAAGTCCCCCGGGCCTGATGGGATTTATCCGAGGATTCTATGGGAAGCAAGGGAAGAGATCACCGGACCTTTGGCGATGATCTTTTCGTCCTCACTGTCCACGGGTATAGTGCCGGAAGATTGGAGTGTGGCAAACGTCATTCCCTTGTTCAAAAAAGGGAATAGGGATAACGCCAGAAATTACAGGCCAGTTAGTCTTACTTCAGTGGTGTGCAAATTATTGGAAAGGGCTCTGAGAGATTGGATTTATGAACACTTGGATAGGCACAGTTTGATTCGTGATAGTCAGCATGGATTTGTGAGGGGTAGATCATGCCTCACAAACGTTATTGAATTCTTTGAAGAGGTGCCCAAACACGTGGATGAAGGTAGAGCAGTGGATATGGTATACATGGATTTAAGTAAGGCATTTGATAAGGTTTCCTTAAGGAGGCATGGGATAGGGGGAAATGTGGCAGATTGGATTCAGAATTGGCTGACCCTTAGAAGACAAAGGGTGGTAGTGGACGGAAAATATTCAACATGTTGATCAGTTACGAGTGGTGTACCACAAGGATCTGTTCTGGGTCCTCTTCTATTTGTGATTTTTGTAAATGATTTGGATGTAGGAGTGGAAGGGTCCATTAGTAAGTTCGCGGATGATACGAAGGTGGGTTGAGTTGTGGATAGTGCGGAGGGCTGTTCTAGGTTACAAACGGACATTGATAGGATGCAGAGCTAGGCTGAGAAGTGGCATATGGAGTTTAACCCTGAAAAGTGTGAGGTAATTCATTTAGAAAGGACAAATTTGAAAGCAGAATACAAGGTTAATGGAAAGATTCTTGGCAGTGTGGAGGAGCAGAGGGATTTTGGGGTACTTGTCCACAGTTCCCTGAAAGCTGCCACCCAGGTAGATAGAGTTATTTAGAAGGTGTATAGTGTTTTAGTTTTCATTAGTAGAGGGATTGACTTCAAGAGCCGTGAAGTTATGCTCCAGCTGTACAAAACCCTGGTTTGGCCACGTCTGGAGTATTGTGTCCAGTTCTGGTTGCCTCATTACAGGAAAGATGTGGAAGTGTTGGAAAAGGTGCAGAGGAGATTTACCAGAATGTTGCCTGGAATGGAGGGAAGGTCATATGAGGAAAGATTGAGAGAGCTGGGGCTTTTCTTTTTAGAATGACGAAGGATGAGAGGTGACTTGATAGAGATGTACAAAATGATCAGAGGTATAGATAGAGTGGATAGCCAGAGACTTTTTCCGAGTGTGGAGGTAGCTATTACGAGGGTGCATAGTTTTAAAGTGAGTGGAGGTAGATATAGGGGAGACGTCAGAGGTAGGTTCTTTACTCAGAGAGTGGTAGAGACGTGGAATGCATTGCCGGCGAGGGTAGTGGAGTCGGACTCATTAGGGGCATTTAAGCGGCTACTAGATAGGCATATGGATGATATTATAAGATCGGGGTGGAGGTTAGATAGACCTTAGGTTTAGGGTAAAAGTTCAGCACAACATTGTGGGCCGAAGGGCCTGTACTGTGCTGTACAATTCTGTGTTCTACATTCTCAGTAGGTTACATCAAAAGCATTGTCCTCGTTTACACAGCCAGTCACTCCTTCAAAAATTTCAGTCAAATTGATCAGAAGTCAGCTCCCCTTAACG